CTCCGACCCCATCTGCTCCGACCCCATCTAGGAGGCCTACAGATAAGTCGGGCGCTTCCGAGCGCGGCCTTGGGGCCCCAGGCCTGCCCCCCCCGGCGCCCCTCTCGCGGGGGGGGCGGGTCCGCGGGTCAGGCGTCTCGGGCATCGCGGTCGATGGTCGATGGCCAGTCAGGGCAGGGCGCGGGGGGGGGGCCGGGCGCGCAGCTACTGGGCCCCACCCGCGGAGCGGGAACAAACCCGTCCTCGGGAATGCCGTCGGCCTTCATCCGCTTACCGAACGGCGACGTCACAGAAAGGCCGACCGCCTCGCGCCTTTGCTCGCTGGTTCCCCTGGCCGGGCTGCCCGCGGAGTGACCCTCCGCGATCTCCCCCGGGCCTAAATCATCGGATGAAATCGCAGCCTCTTCGCCGCAGGCGAAGGGCGCCTGTGTAGGAGGCCGACAGTCGGCCAACGGAGCAGGGGATATGATGCCATAGGCCTCGCCCTCCCTTTCTGCGACAGGCGAGCGCCGCGGTGGGCAATCGGCCTCGGCGTCGATCTGCGAACAACATTCTCCTCTGACGAAATGGACTCCACATAGTGCCGCGTGCTGCTCACCGTCCGACGGGCGAATTGGAACTTCAAAATGACCCGCGATTGGTAACGGCATCTGCTCGCCGCCCTCGTGCCCGTCGGACTCCTTGTCGCCCTTGGCCTTCGGGGCGTCCGGGCGACGCTCGTCGCCGTAGGACATATTTGCTAGGTTATCCGACATCGCCGGTTGAATAATCTCTTGGAACATTCGCACATAAGCCGTGGCGTTGATCTTCTTTCTTTCGCACATCATCCACTGCGGGTAGAAACATAGTGATCCTCTTCGATGACGCCACTTTCACCGATGCTGGTAATTTGGGCAACTATTCGATATTTTGTAACTTTCCCGTCAGGAGCGGAGCTTGCGCAGCCCGATTAAACAGCAATGCGTGTGTTTTTTTTGGAGATGATCTCCTCCTTGCACGAGTTGCGTGCTGGGATCTCAGCGGTCTATTGGTGACGAAATCATTGTGGCCATGGCGCGGTGTACTAGTGTGCCGTGAAGCTACGACAGTGATCACAATATTCGGAGGAGGGCCGGCTGGCCGGCGGGCGCGCGGACGCCCCCCGTTGTGGCCACAGCCAGAACAGCTGCAGTAAACTTAAGCAAGTGAAGCTGAGGCATGGCAGGGGAGTGACTAAATCAACTAAAGCTTTGGGGTCCTGGCCCCATCACCTTCCCCCCTGCACTCGCCCCTCGCTTGAATGACTCGGGCGATGTCGGCCATCTTGGAGGCCCTGGGGGCGACACAGAATGCCCAAATCGACTAAATGTCTTAGCTTTCTGCGTGATCTTGACGTTCTCGCCGCATTGGTCGCAGGAGCGTCCAAAACGGCCCCACGAGTGGCCCAGGAGGCTTCCAAGACGGCCCCAAGGGGGGCCCCAAAAGAGCGCCAACGTCGCACCAATGGAAGACAATCCCTCCAACATGATCCCAAGACACCAGTACGCCCAAGACGCGCCCAAGTGGGCCACGAAGGCTCCCAGAACCCCCCCAAGACGAGGCCTTGGAATCATCTCGATCCTTCCCGAGCACGACCCACGCGCAGTAGCAGGGTGCGCCGGAGACCATTCCATGTTCGCCCTCGCATTCAAGCCGCCACCGTCCCGCGCCCCCTTCCCCATTCCGCTTCTTGCGCTCAAGCTGTTCCCTTCGAAGGGTCGGCCCGGCGGCACCGGCTGCAAAGCCTTTGACATTCTCTTTCTCTTTCACCTCCTCCTTCTCCCCCTCCCACTCTACCACCTCACCCCCCTGCCCCTGGCCCTCCCTCTCGCTTCCCCCATCCTGCTCCTGGTCATTCCCCTTTTCGCCTTCCTCGTCTTCTTACCTCTTCCCTCCTGCCTCCTTCATTTTTCCCCTCCTCCTGCTTCTCCTTGTCGTCCTCCTCCCCCTCGTCGTCGTCGTCCTCCTCCTCCTCTTCCTATTCCTCCTCCCCCTCTCTCTCTTCCTCCTCCTCCTCCTCCTCCTCCACCTCCTCCTCGTCCTCCTCCTCCTCCTCCCTCTCCTCCTCCTCCCCTCTCTACTCCTCCTCCTCCTCCTCCTCCTCCTACCTCCTCCTCCTCCTCCTCCTCCTCCTCCTCCTCCTCCTCCTCCTCCTCCTCCTCCTCCTCCTCCTCCTCCGTCTCCTCGCCCTCCACCTCCCCCTTCACAATTACTCAATATGAAAATACTCCCCCTCTCTCCCTGATGGCGTCCGGGTGATGGCCGCGCACCCTCCGCGTACTGTTTTTCCCCACCATTCTGTGGTGTTGGGTCCTCGTTTTGAAGAGACGTTGCCCCGCGTTCCTCCTCCTCCTTCCTCCTCCTCCCCTTCCTCCCCCCTCCTCCCCCTCCCACACCCATTCTGGCACACCCCTCACACGTTTCGTGGCCCCATAGGGAGCTCCACCGAAGGCCCCAGTGGCTGCGCCCGCATGCGGTTCCACCCCCCATTCTGGCACACCCCTCACACGTTTCGTGGCCCCATAGGGAGCTCCACCGAAGGCCCCAGTGGCTGCGCCCGCATGCGGTTCCACCCCCCATTCTGGCACACCCCTCACACGTTTCGTGGCCCCATAGGGAGCTCCACCGAAGGCCCCAGTGGCTGCGCCCGCATGCGGTTCCACCCCCCATTCTGGCACACCCCTCACACGCTTCGTGGCCCCATAGGGAGCTCCACCGAAGGCCCCAGTGGCTGCGCCCGCATGCGGTTCCACCCCCCATTCTGGCACACCCCTCACACGTTTCGTGGCCCCATAGGGAGCTCCACCGAAGGCCCCAGTGGCTGCGCCCGCATGCGGTTCCACCCCCCATTCTGGCACACCCCTCACACGTTTCGTGGCCCCATAGGGAGCTCCACCGAAGGCCCCAGTGGCTGCGCCCGCATGCGGTTCCACCCCCCATTCTGGCACACCCCTCACACGTTTCGTGGCCCCATAGGGAGCTCCACCGAAGGCCCCAGTGGCTGCGCCCGCATGCGGTTCCACCCCCATTCTGGCACACCCCTCACACGTTTCGTGGCCCCATAGGGAGCTCCACCGAAGGCCCCAGTGGCTGCGCCCGCATGCGGTTCCACCCCCCATTCTGGCACACCCCTCACACGTTTCGTGGCCCCATAGGGAGCTCCACCGAAGGCCCCAGTGGCTGCGCCCGCATGCGGTTCCACCCCCCATTCTTCTGGCACACCCCTCACACGCTTCGTGGCCCCATAGGGAGCTCCACCGAAGCCAGTGGCTGCGCTCGCATGGGGGCACACCCCTCACACGCTTCGTGGGTGGCTCCATGGGGAGCTCCACCGAACGCCCCAGTGGCTGCGCTCGCATGTGGTTCCCCCCGCATTTCGGCACACCCCTCACACGGTTCGTGGCCCCATAGAGAGCTCCACCGAAGGCGCCAGTGGCTGCGCCCGCATGCGGTTCCGCCCCTTTTTTCGGCACGCCCTTCACACGTCTCGTGGCCCCATAGGGAGCTCCACCGGATGCCGCAGTGGCTGCGCTCGCATGCGGTTCCACCCCCCATTTCGGCACATCCCTCAGACGTTTCATGGCTCCATAGCTCCACCGAAGGCCCCAGTGGCTGCGCTGGCATGCGGTTCCACACCCCATTCTGGCACACCCCTCGCACGTTTCGTGGCCCCATAAAGGGGGCTCCACCAAAAGGTCCCAGTGGCACTGCCCGCTTGCGTCCGCCACCACCCAGCACAGCCCTTGTTCCCTGCGTTTCACCCACCCAGAACAGCGCTTCGTAGCCCTATAGGGAGCTCCACCAAAGGTCCCAGCGGCACCGCCCGCATGCGTCCGCCACCACCCTGCGCAGCCCTTGCTCCATGCCTGCGTTTCACCCACCCAGTACAGCGTTTCGTGGCCCCATAGGGAGCTCCACCGAAGGTCCCAGTGGCACCGCTCGCATGCGTCCGCCACCACGCAGCACAGCCCTTGCTGACCGCGTCTCACCCACCCAGTACAGCGTTTCGTGGCCCCATAGGGAGCTCCACCGAAGGTCCCAGTGGCACCGCCCGCATGCGTCCGCCACCACCCAGCACAATTGCGGCATTCACAACTGCATATGGTTGGGTCCTTCGCCAAGCTAATTTTACACACAAGATGCCCGGGAAATCCCGGGAAACGACTCTCGCTGAAGCGCCGGCGTCATTTTTTACCAAAATGCTGCTCTCGTTGAGGCGCCGGCCTCATTCCTGCTCCCGAATCGTTCCGAATCGTGCTCCCGCTGCAGCGTGGGCCTCATTTTCGGATCGGTGTTTGGCCTCCGTCGTTCAGGATGGCGTTCTCGCCCCAGCGCGGGCCTTTTTCTCGCGCGCCCATCCGCCCGCCACCACCGCGCCGCACCGCCACCACCACCACCACCACCACCACCACCACCACAACCACCACCAGCACCAGCACCAGTACCAACACCACCACCACCAGCACCACCACCACCACCACCAGCACCACCACCACCACCATCACCACCACCACCACCACCACCACCACCACCACTACCACCACCACCACCACCACCACGACAACCACGCACACACGCACGCACGCACGCACGTGCACCACCACCCACTACGCACGCGCGCGCGGAGCCACAGGTCCGCTACGACACGCGTCCGCGGATAGAGAAAATCAGCGCCATGCACCACTACCACCCCCACCACCACCACGACAACCACGAACACACGCACGCACGCACGCACGTTCACCACCAACCACTACGCACGCGCGCGCGGAGCCACAGGTCCGCTACGACACGCGTCCGCGGATAGAGAAAATCAGCGCCATGGTAAGGGATGGGAGGGAGGGGTAGGACGTCAGATATGACGCGAGCGCACCTAGCTTGCCCCCTCCCCTCCCTGTCATACCCATCCTCCTTCCGCCTGCTCCCCATCTCACCTGCGCCCCATCCATCCTCTGCACAGGATCCCGCAGGCAACCGGTAAACTACTTGCCCTTCTTGGGAGGAAGCGTGGCCGCTGCCGGCACGTCCTCCGCCTGCTTGGCCTCCTCGGCTGCTGGAGGAGGACAGGACCACGCACACGATAAGGATGATGAGAAAGAGGGGTAGGCAGGAGCAGGAGGTGTGGGGAAAGTAGGACGGGGAATAAGACGAGGATGAATAGGAGGAGGAGGAGGAGGAGGAGGAGGAGGAGGAGCAGGAGGACAAGGACGACAGGACAGGGAGGGGGAGGAGTAGCAGCGTTTGGGACGTGGGTAAGGGGTATGACATAAAGGGGTGTGGTGCCAATCGCGGGACTGGCGATCTTCTCTGCGGTGCATGAAGCCGACAGATTCGGGATTGGCACCGCACACCTTCACACCACACTTTTTTCCGGCCTTCAGGAGCATGAGGAGCAGGCGGGCAAGGACGGGGAGGAGAGGCAGGAGCAGGCGCGGTCCTCGGCCGCCTTGGCCTCCTTAGCCCTCTTCCTGGCAGCCTTCATGGCGCCGACCGCCTCGTCGAAGACCGCCTTGAACTCGTCGAGGGGGCCTCTGCTCCAGCCAGGGGGGAAGCAGGAGAGGAGAGGGGAGCGGGGGCGGGGGAGCGGGCCCGGGCCCAGAAGCGGCCTGGCCGGGACCGGCGGAGTGGCCAGCCGAAGTCCGACGAGAACCGGCAGGATCAAAGATGGGGCCCTGAGGGGTGGGGCCCCAAGGACGAGTGGCCACAGACAGGACCCCATCCCTGGACCGCCTGGAGAGGGGTGGGGGGTGGGGGCAAGGCAACAAAAAGTAGGCGCTGCTGCTGGCGCCGGCCACGCGGTCCTACAGGAGCAGGGCGGTGGGGCCGTGACCCTGCGGTTGGAGGTGGCGTGCTCGCAAGAGGGGCGGAGGGCAGGGAACGCGGGGACAGCAAACGACCACAACCACATCGAGGACAGACCTGGGGGCATGTCTTGCACCTGCCAAAAGTTGTCGGAACACCGCAGTCGGCTTCGTATTGGTTGTGGTCGGTGTGGCGCCCCAAGACGGCCAACTCGACCACAACCACAACCAAAGTGTTCATGTCGAGGTCGGTGGGTTCTCGCCCGAGTGGTTATGGTTCTTTGCTGTGCCTGGAGGCAAGCGGGCACGGACAGACGATGAGTGGAAGAGTGGAGGAGGAGGCAGGCGGGCAAGGAAGGGCGCACGGGATGGGAGCAAAAAGCGAATGGGGCAGAGGGGGTATGACATACGGTAGAATATGGAAGGGGGAAAATTCCTCCTTTTCCCTCTCCTCTTCCTTTATTATTTTCCTCCTGATCCTCCTCCTCCTTCTTCCCATCCCTTGGATGATTACGTCGACGCCCCCAGCGCCCAGCGCACGGGGGGCGCGCGGGAAGGACAACTCCTTCGCCTAATTACCGCCTCCTCACTTCCTCCCCCGCTCCCATTTCCTTATCATCCTCCTCCTCTGCTCGTCTCCTCCCCCCCACCCCTCACCCCCCCCTGCTCCCCGTTTTCTTCAGTGCGCCGAGACTGGTGGCGCAAGAGACGCTGGCCTCACGGGCACCGGGGGCAGGCACCACCACATTCCATGGGATAAGGGGCAGCAGCGCCACATGAGAAAGATGAGGAGGAGGAGGGGGAGGAAAAGGAGGAGCCTCGGCAATATCAACAACATAAGAAGACACACGTTGCAGGAATAGGGGGATGGGGAGGCTGGGGAATGGCAGGACGATGAGAGGGGAGAGGAGGAAGAGGAGGGGGGGAAAGAGGATGGGATATAGGAGGGATAGATGAATGAGAAACAGAGAGAGGGAGAGAGAGAGAGAGAGAGAAACAAAAAAGAAAGAAAGAAAGAGAGAGAGATAGAGAAAGAAAGAGAGAAAAAGGGAGATAAAGAGAGAGAGAGAGAGAAAGAAACATAAAGGGATATGCTATAGAGAGAGGCCACAGGCTGCATTTGTCTCGGAGGGAGAAGATGGGAACGGACAGCTTGAATCCACCACTCGCACTCATGAGCAATGCGTACGCCCCAGACAATCCAGCACATTGACGCGGGTAGCGCTTGCCTGCCCCGGTCGCATGGTTGACGCAGTCTCGCGGCGTCTACTTGCGTGCTGACACTACGGGGGATGTATTGCACCAGCGATGTGCCCTGCGCTTAGGAAGAATAGCCCGCGCAGTACTTCCTCCAGCCGCTAATGAAATAACCATCGACACAACAAACCGCCATGTGAGTGTCCCCGGCGCTGGTTCACGCAACCCCGGTGGCTTTCTCAGCCGAAAAACATATAACCAATACTGGAGGGATAACATGGAAGCAGGCCCCAACCCGCTCAAAACCAATGCGCCAACGAGGCTCCCAGCGCGCTAGAGCACACAACGCTGCGATTGAGAGGCAGCAGGGTGGCCGACCAAACAGAAAAAAAGAGGAGGAGGAGGGGGAGGGGGAACAGGGGAAAAGGCGGCCTAACTAAGTTCATGGCGGGCACCTGTGCAGCACGCCTCATATGCGGCATCACGCGCAACTCAACTGCAACAGCCTGGGCGTTCGGGGCACGTGCGTGGTGCTGGGGAGCGGGCGCACAAGACATTGTGGCAAGATGCTAAGCATCCGTTCAGCCCATGGGCTGAAGCTGAATCCCACCAGCCCTCCGAGCGCTGGGGGGGGGGCCGGGCGGGGGAAGCCCCGGGTGGCCCCGAAATGCCCGGGCGGTCTCAGATAGATCAGCGACGGCGCCTGCGCTGGCTGATCTGAGGAGGAGGAGGAGGAGGAGGAGGAGGAGGAGGAGGAGGAGGAGGAGGAGGAGGAGGAGGAGGATGAGGAGGAGGAGGAGGAGTTGGAAGAGGAGGAGGAGGAGGACGACGAGGTGGAGGAGGCGGAGGGGGGTTTCCACCCGCGGAGGGCGCAGCCCTGGTCTTCGCCTACCTGAGCAGGCGCTGGAAGCCGAGCCCCCGCCGAATGACGGCGCGGCGCCTCCCTGCGATTACCTGCCGTGCGAAGCGGGCGGGGGCAGGAGGGAGACGCCGAAGAGACTGAAAAGTAGATTGGGTGGCATCTAGTGCAACGAGGTGGCTGGCCAGTGCGTCGGGGCCCCTTCGAATGAAAAGGTGAATGAGAAAGGCGCCCAGAGGGTCATCTCCCCAAAATGGGGGGGGCCCTGGAAGAAACTGCCGAAGATGGGGAGAGGACATCGGGCAGGAAACGCAGTGAAGAATATCGCCTCCTCCCATGCACCTGCGCCCGACGAAACATCGCCCAGGACCCTGCCGATGCCTGCGGGTGGTATTCCAGGAATTGAAGATCGACTTAAGCACGGCAGCGAACACAGAACCAGGGGCAACCTCACTGGACAGCAGGATACGTAGAACGCTAAATCCACGCCAGCATCAAGAACCTGCGACGCCCACGTGCGAACGCGCAGCAGGAGGCGTCTGGCCCCTCTCCTTCGCGAGGGCAGCAGCGAGCTTGGCCCGGGCACCTCTCGGGTGGAGGTCAGGCGGAAGCTTCGGAATAAGCACTGAACTGAGGCATTATTCGCGCATGTCGGCAACTATTGAATTGCGGTCGAAGGTTCTGCTCATCGTGTCACAAATGGAGTGGACGAGGGTAGACTTGCGGGCGACTCGCAACCGCGCGGCTCGGCTCTGCAACTCGAGCGAGGTCGCCTGCGCGCCGAGCCCGAGGGGCTCAAACGAGGGGGCGCTTCTGCCGGGCATGAACACCGCGGGCTGCAAGTGGACAACTGGTGGGCTTCCCGTTCAGCTTTAAGAACATGTTTGGTCGGCGCGCGCCCCTGGCTGATATAGGGCCACGCGGGGCGGGGGGGGAGGGGGCGCGCGTCTCATGAGCAGCGATGCTCGTGGTAGGCTCTTCTGTCATCCCCTTTGCCATAATTGCGCGCTTGAGAACTTCCCCGCGTGCGCCTTTCCACGAACGACCCCTCCCATCCTTCCCAATCATAAACCCAAGATCTCCACCATCAATTTGGCGATGTTAATGCCAGCGCGTGTGAAGCGACCAACAGCTCCACCGACCAGCTCGGGGCTGGTTAGGATGGCGACGCGCTTGGCTGTGTTCAGCATCAGCCCGGTGGCGCATCCAAAAACAACAGATGGCTCTGGTGGCGGGCCCGAGCGAGCTGAAAATGCCGGCGGCGACCAGCGCAATATCATCGGCGGAGGCTGAAACCTGTTTGGGGAGAGCGGTGGCCAGGACCTCAATGTAGTGGAGAAGCGGATCAGGAGCCAGGGCGAATAAAACGCCAGAGAGCGGGCGCCCTTGTCTGACTCCTCTGAGGGCCTGGAAGGAGACCTCGCGGGAAGCCTTGCATGACCTGGTGCAAGGTAAATTCTGGCACAACCACATGATGGCAGCGATGGTGAACTCGGGGGACCGAAACGCACGCATAACATTCCAGATACATTCATGTAGGGCCGACGGAAAAACAACGCGAAACTCACGCAGACAGGCCCCGCATTCCGCGCGGCAAAGGATGGCGCCCCAGTGCGTGATATTAAAGCCAACCTCGTGCACATCGCCCATGCTACTTTTACCGCGGATGAAGCCACGCTGAGACGAATGACATTGATCGGCGATGACGTGCGGCAGGGGGCGGCGATAAAGGCTGCCAGTGATTTTGTTGTCGGCGCTCGGGAGAGCGATGGGTCTCGCGTCTTCGAAGACTTCCACGACGTGACTGGGATCGGGGGGATCGAATTTGGCTGGCAGAGCAAGCTTGGAGCAAGTTTCATCGATATGGGGGCCCCGCCCCCGAGGACATGTTCGCGCCCTTCGCGCGGCGCCTCTTGGGCAGCAGGGCCATCGGCTCTCCAGGCGCTGCAGCATGGGTCGTCGGGGCCTGGAGCTGAATTCCATGCGCAATGAGGCGTGTCCAGGAAAAGGCCAAAGGTTGGCAACTAAGGGCACCGCGGTGGTCCGCTGTCATTCTGGCCCAAGCTGGTTGGGGAGCTCGAATGGGTAACTTCGCCTGGAGAAGCACTCCTGGGTGCGAGCCCGGGCGGTCGCCGCCCCTCACCTTCCCCGAGCGCCATGGCCGCCCCCGAGAACATGGTGGCGCAGATGAAGGCCATGCTCGACGCCAATGGGGAAGCCATCGCGCAGCCCCTGAAGTCGGAGCTGCAGCGCAACATCTCAGGGCTGCAAGGTCAGATATCCGCGCGGGGCACGGAACCCCAGCAGATCATGCGCGAGCTCTCGGTCCAAGCCAACAAGATCGCCAACCTAGAGTCCAAGGCCAGCGCCAGCGCGGGAACTGTGTCAGCTCACTTTCCTCAGCCGCATCTTCGCATCGACAAGCCCTCGAAGGAGGTGAAGCTCTGCGAGTCCAACATGATGAGTGGAATGGCAACCACGCGGCGAAATTCACAGGCGCGTTCCCTCGCCCCCATTCGTGTGAGAAGGCCAGGCAAACTCACTGGATTCAGTTGCAGTCCATGCCCCCCGGGTTGGGGGGCGAGCCAGGAGCCGCGGCCATCTTCCACGGCGCGAGCCAAGTGCACGCGCTGAAGTTCACCCGTGCCGCCGACGCCCAGAACTTCCAACGC